TTTTGACTATGCACGTAAACAAATTCTCTGACGCAAATAAATTTCTAATTTTTTTTATATTGAGAATTTGGGGATGGAGTATATATTTGTAATACTGTAATTGCATCAAATTAGAAGTCCTTCTTCAGCCCGCGTCTGCACTTTGGATTAACCTGCAAAACCCCGAGGTGAAACTCGGGGTACACACTCCGATACTTAAGTTAGTAATAGTCGGAGCTACCTTTAGATTGAGGATAAAAAGAGCTTAAAGTTGATTTCAATTACCTTTTTGACATGCCCTCTGGGGGTATTTATAGGCTTCAGTGAGGAGCCCACGTGGCATGCCAAGCAAGATAATCGGAGTCTGACGTGTCTCTCCAAACGGTTATTTCAGGACCGGGAAATTGAGAGATATTCAGATGTGAGAATGTCCATCGTAACTACTGTGCAGCTTGTCATAAGGAATCAGGTGCGAGCATGCTTATTGTCGCTGTCATGCAGTTGTTTGAGCAGGAAGTATTGGATTTATCCTTCACGTCGGTTATAAAGGAATTATTGTCGAACGTCCAAGGTTGGGCACGTCGGACCTATCCTTACACTATTCCCCCCTCGAAGTCATTCACTTGTGAATGATGTGGTAAGGGAAGTATATGATATCAGGTGATAAATATAATACAAGATCAGCTGATGTGAGAAGCATGTTATGTAGCTGTATAATACAATTAAAGTATGTGGCACTGGGTCGCTATGTCAAGAATTGAGGTGAAACATATGGAATGGGATCACTATGGCCGGAGCCGAAGTGAAATGTGTGACGTTGGGCCACTATGGGCCGGAGCCAAAGTAAAACATGTGACACTTGGTCACTGTGGGCCGGAGCCGAAGTAAAACATGTGACGCTGGGTCACTGTAGCCGTAGCGGAAGTAAAGCATATGACACTAGGTCACTGTAACCGAAGTTGAAATGAGATACAGTGATTGTAGTCATGTGGGCCGTAGCCGAAGAGACAAGTATGACCGGAGTCATCTGGTTGGTTGCCGAAGTAAAACACTTGGAAAAATTAAGAATGTGTAAAAGTGGACAGGAGTATAGAGAGGGGCTTAAGTGGGCCCGTCTGAAAAGCCTGACAAAGAGTCAGTATGTGATGTGACAACTGCCCTCTGAAGGATGTGCGTAATAAATGCGGTTGTAAAAAGATAATCGCAACAATTAAACAGGCGAAATTAAAAAACGAGCTGTCAAGTTTGAAACGGTGCCATTTGAGGTTAACCGTTGAATTCGAAATGGTGTTTTTGTAGCCGTTTGATGGAATTAATCACAACCATTGAGGCGTATTTTCTCTTTGGTATAAAAGGCAATACTTCTATAAAAAAGGGTTTTACTTTCGCTATTTCGCTACCAAATTCTTGCTAAATTTTTATGGTTTTGTGCGGTTAACCTTTGTGCTTCGTTTGAGACTTCAACACCAATTTCATAAGACCAAAATCAGGTAATGTATATGATTCTCTGATTTAGATTTTAAGGAAGCGTCACTCTCCTTTCTCCCTTTCTGTTTTTGATTTTGAGTCCTCTGAAGGAAGTTAGGGTTGGGAGTGAGAATGTTATTGAGTGTGCGTTAGAATTTTTTAAGGGTCCTGACTTCATTCCTCCTTCTACTTCATGCAGAAATTGAGGAGATGTCTTCAGAAGGAACAATGAGTGTGGTAGGAAATGAGGTGATGCCTCTAGAGTATGGTTGTATGGACTCAAAGAGTAGTCCGTCTCCGTCTAGTTCGAAAAGGATAGTGGAGGAGAAAAGAGGGCGAGAGATAGTGGAAGAGGTATAGGAGGAAATTCCTTCAAATATTATGGAGGGTGAGAGTAATATAGATAGGTATTTTGACCCAGACTTAGGCATAGTATCTAAGGTGAGGGAGTATGAGAGTGAATTGGGTAGCAAGGGTAGCCTTAGGGGCCTTTTAGGTAACTGCAACCTTCCTCACCATGTGTTAATTAGGCCTGCTGAGGTGAATAAGAGAGCGTGCTTAGCACCCCGAGATCATTGGATGCCTATGTATGTCCATTATTTGGCAGCAAGGCTTAGGTTTCCCATTCCAAAGTTACTGGTTGGGTTACTGTTAGAGTATAGTATATGAATAACCCAATTAACCCCAAATGCTATAAGAACAATAATAGGCTTTATAATATACTGCCGAGCTCAGGGTGTTGGGGTCCCTACTGTAAATATGTTTAAACATTTTTTTATAATAAGGGCTGGGGGTAAGAGTGAAAAAGGGTGGTATTACTTCGGACCTCAGACATCCAGCAAAGAGAATAGGAGTTTATTCACTGTTGGACCGTCATCCATTAAAGGATGGAAAGAGGAGTTCTTCTTTGTGGATGGCACCGAGTGGAGTAGGAGGGATGCCGAAGTGGAATACTTGTTTGCTTGGAAAGCTAAGAAAGCCAAGCAGAATGAGTACAAGTTAAATGAGGATAAGGTGGAAGAGGTAGGGAAGCTAGTGAGGGAGGAAGGGGAGTTAGTGGATATCATGTACCTCACCAGCTTGAAGGCGATAGAGGCTGCCGAGCTTTATGGGCCAAGCTCATTGAGTGAAGGTTTGTTTATTTTTGTTTTGTACAACTTATTTGAGCTTTCAGTGAGTGTGTTTTAACACTTGTGTTTGTCTTGCAGCTGAGATGGAGGGTTTTCTGAATGCTGCTGGTGGGCTGGCTATCCCGAAGAAGCCAAGGAAGAAGTCAAAGACTTCAAGTGTGGCAGATAAGGGGGCAGCAGAGAGAGAACATCTGTCCAGTACTTCTGCTCGAGCTTTGGAAGTACAACAAAGGCTAGAGCCTATGAGGAGAAGCAATGAAAAAGTGAGTGAGAAGGTGGCGCCACTTCAGAGGAAGAAAAGGAAGGCGGTAGAGCCAGAAGCTAGGGGGATAAGGTGGTGGAATTCGTACCTTGGCCTTCTCCTGCTAAGGTTGATCCTGAAGCCAGGGAGAGGGAGGAGGCCGAGGTGCGAGGCCCTGGTAAAGGCAAGGAACTCATCCCTCTTCCTTCATTCCAGAAGAGTTTGTTCGAGGCAACGAACATCACTAGGGCGAAGCGGTTTCTCAACGCAACTCTTTTGGAGGTGGATAGGAGGCAGGCAAGGGAAGAGGCAGTGAGCCAGTTGGGGGCTCGCGTTGTGAGGCACACCCTGGAGGTATGTAAAAAAGTTATAATTTATTCATCATTTTTTTTTTTTGACTTCTGCGTTTGAGTTCTGACTTTTGCTTGCATTATAGAGTGCAAGATGGGTAAACACTCTGGCACAAGAGTATGCGGAGAGCGTGAGAGACTATGCTAGCTTGTAGAGGCAGTGTGAGGAGCTACAAAAGGAAAAGGAGGAGCTGCAGAAGAAGAACAAAGAGATGCAGAGGAAGATGGATGAAGTTGTGCCAATAGTAATCGAGCTCCAAAATGACAGAGATACCTTGAGCACAAGACTTGCCTTCGAAGAACGTAAGAGGAAGATCTGCGAAGACAAGATTGAGGCTCAAGACAAGTATATTGAGAAGATGAACCAAGGGATGGTGGAGCTGAAAAAGAATGTGGATCTGCCGGTTCATAACGGGATGGAAGAACATGTTGGCAACTTCCTCAACTCCAGCACCTTTGAGAGCATCGTCAACTTCTACTAGCTGCCAACTGCAATTTTGGCGTTCACCGACTGTAGAAAGAAGGTGAAAGCTCAATATCCCGAACTGGACGTAACGACGATCACCTTTGGCGATCAAGAACAAGGGGTGGGGAAGGACGGTGAGAGTCTCTCTACTGACTTCCGGCCTGTGATTAAGCTGAGGTGGGAGCGTGACGCAGAGGGACGCACTATCTTTCCTCCAACCTTTGATGCTGAGCTTGTGGTAGTAGAGGAAGAGGAAGAAGTGCAAGATGCTGGAGTTGAGAACTAGGCAGACCCGACCGAAGTCCAGCCTCCTGAAGTTCATCCAGTTTTCCTCTGATGAAGTGCAACCAGCTCCTCCTAAAGCAAAAGTGCCACCTCAGCCACCTCCTCCCGCTGAGGAGCAGCCTCCTTTCTCAACAAAATAGCTTAGGATTTTCTATTTTTTAGTTATGTTTGTAATGAACAATTTTGTAATTAATTTTTTACTGATTTATAAAATTTTTGAAGGTATTTTTGATGTGTATATTTTAATGTTTGATTGTTGTTTGTTTTAAGTAAATCACTTCGATTAAAATAAAGTGACCTTAATTAATACGAGGAACTGACCTCGGACACACAGTAAAATGGATAGCCAGGGAATTGACTTCGGATATACAAGAGGCAGACCTCAAATATACAAATGAAAAAAGATGAAGTAAATCACTCCAAAAGTAAAGTGTGATTAATTAATAGAATCGTAACCCAGAAAATGAAGTGACTAAATAAGTCACAATGAATTAACTAAATAAGTCACAATGAATTAACTTTGGATATAAGTGAAATTTACTTCCAATGTACAGAAGAGTAGAAAGAACTGAATCACTTCAAATGTGAAGTGAAACTCATTAATGAGATAAATGAATTGAGCTCGTATATACATTAGATTGAGCAAAAAGGGAGAGAGTAATGACAATTATAAAAATAATACAAAGTTCACTTGAAAGAAGTGTATTGAGAGTAAAACTTCTTCAAGTTATTGACATTCCAGACTCTAGGAACCCTTTTGCCTTCAGTGTCCCGTAGGATATAAGCACCTAGGTGCGGCACTTCGGCTACAGTGTAGGGGCCTTCCCAGTTTGGTGTTAACTTTCCAAATCGAGTTTCAAATCCCGTTAGACCAGCTTTCTTGAGAACAAGGTCTCCTACTTTGAATGTTCGGGGTTGAACTCGTTTGTTGTAGAAGTTGGCTAATTTTTGCTTGTAAACTAGAGTTCGAAGCCGTGCTTCTTCTCTGATTTCGTCAAGCAAATCAAGGTTCTCATGAAGTAGTTGTCCATTTCGTCCTTCATAAAAATGGGTGACCCTAAAGCTTGGGACTCCTATCTTAATAGGAATGATTGCTTCGGTGCCAAAGGTTAGGTGATAGGATGTTTCTCCTATTTTAGTTAGTTATAATTTTGGAATGTGCTTTACGTGTTATGCATATTTGATCTAAGGTAAAGCCGTAGAAGAAGAAGTAAAATAATATGAAAGTTAATCACGTAAACCAGGTTTGAAACAATACCTGTGGCAGTTCGGCTCGTAGTTCTGTATGCCTAGAAGACTTTATTGAGCTTGTCTGCCCACCTGGCCTTATGCATCTATAACCTTGGTTTTATCCCCTCAAGTATAACTTTGTTGACAGATTCTACCATCCCATTAGACTCCAGGTGGTACACTGAGGTGAACTGTAACTTGATCCCATAACTGGAGCAAAAATCCCTGAATGAGAAGCAGTTGAACTGAGTTCCATTATCAGCTACAATCTGATTTAGGATCCCATATCTGCAGATGATTGAGCTGAAAACAAAATATTCGACCTTCTTAGAGGTAAGACTAGATAATAGCCGAGCTTCAACCCATTTCGTAAAATAATCCACACCAACAATCAGATGGGTTATGCCTCCTACCCCCTTCATAAATGGACCTAAGAGATCAAGTCCCCACTGAGAAAATGGCCAAGGTGCTACCAGATTAGTGAGCTCTTCTGCTGGCTGATGAATTAGATGTGCAAAGAACTGACATTTCTAACACCTCTATACGAACTGAGTGCATCTTTTACATGTTGGGCCAATAATATCCTTGTCTAAGAACTTTATGAGCCAAATTTCGAGCACCAATGTGACTTCCGCAGACACCTTCATGCACCTCCCGAAGTGGTATTCAGCCTCATAAGGGTTCAAGCAGCGGAGTAGAGGGAGTGAGAAAGATCTCTTGTAGAGGACTTTATTAACAAGGGTATACCGAGATGCTTTCTTCCTCAACCTCATCTCTTCTTGTTTATCTTTAGGCATTGTTCCATCTCATAAAAATGAGATAATTGGATCTGTCCAGTTCGGTGTGCTAGGATCTGTGCTGATTTCCATCATTTTTGGCTTTAGGAAGCTAGGCTCGTCCAGAATTTCAACAAAGACCGATCTGGAGCTTTGGTTGCCATCAGAGGCAAATTTGGAGAAGGAATCTGCTTATTCATTTTCAGCTCGGGGTATTTTGCTCAAATGAAATTTCTGGAATTTAGACTTTAGCTCGGCCACCAGAGTTGCATACTTCATCATAACAGGATCAACCACTTCACAGACTAAGTTGACATGATTGACTACTAGTTGTGAATTACTGTATATTTGTATTGCTGTAACCTTTAGTTCTATTACCAATTGTAAGCCAAGTAACAGAGCCTCATATTCAGCCATATTGTTGATGGCATCAAAATTGAATTTCAGAGCATGTTCACTTCGGTACCCATCTGGACCAAGTAGGATTGCACCAACACCAGAACTTTTGTTACTTGATGCTCCATCAACATACAGAATCCAACTGTCCAGCTTGGACTGGGAATCAAAGTGAGCCGAGGTGCATTCTACTATGAAATCTGCAAGAGCTTGAGCTCGAATTGCTGACCTCTGCTGAAATGTTATCTCAAATTCTCCCAGTTCAACTGCCCATTTGATCAATCTTCCTGAGCATTCTGGCTTTTGTAAAATTTGCCTGAGGGGTTGGTCTGTGAGGACTATGATTGGATGTGATTGGAAATATGGTCTCAGTTTTCTAGCCGAGGTGACAACTGCTAAGGCTGCTTTCTCGACAATAAAATATCTGATTTCAGCTCCATGTAATACACTGCTAATATAATAAACTGGTTTCTGTTGCTTTCCTTCTTCTCTTACTAGCACAAAACTGATAGCTTCATCTGATATATCGAGGCACAAGTAAAGGATTTCTCCGTCATTAGCCTTTGTCAGTAAAGGGGGTGAGTTAAGATAAGACTTTAGCTCGTCAAATGCAACTTGGCATTCTGAATTCCATTCAAATTTCTTTTGTTTGCCAGATTCATCCTTCTAGACTACTAATCTCATGATCTTGAAGAATGGTAGGCACTTATTTGCTGATTTTGAGATGAATCTATGAAGAGTTGCTACTCTCCCTGTCAACCTCTATACGTCTTTTACTGACTTCGGTGATTCCATCTCAGCCATTGCTTTGATCTTCTCGGGATTAACCTCAATCCCCCTTCTGGACACCATGAAGCCTAGAAATTTTCCAAACTCCACACCGAAGATGCATTTTGCTAGATTCAACCTCATTCTATTCTTTTTGAGATTGTTGAATATCTCATCGAGGTTAGTTAAATGATCTTCAGCTTTCAAACTCTTTACCACGATATCATCAACATAGACTTCCAGATTCTGGCCTATTTGAGCTCGAAATACGATGGTAACCATCTTCTGGTAAGTGGCACCTGCGTTCTTTAAGCCGAAGGGCATCATCACGTAGCAATAGATTTCGTCTCCGGCATAGAACGAGGTTTTTTCTTTGTCCTCAAGAGCTATCGGGACTTAGTGGTAACCAGAGTATGCATCCAAGAGACTTAATCTCTCGTTTCCAAAAGCTGCCTCAACTAGCTTGTCAATGTTTGGCATTGGGTAACAGTCTTTTGGACATGCCTGGTTGAGATTAGTGTAATCAATGCACATTCGCCATTTGCTTTTTTCAACAACACAGGATTGGCAACCCATTCACAATAATCGACTCGTCTGACGAAACCAGCTTGTAAGAGTTTTTCAACTTCCTCCTTTATGACTTTTATCCTCTCCCCCCCAAAAAGGCGCCGCTTCTAGGCCACTGGTTTCTTAATTGGATTAATGCTGAGTTTGTGTTGAGATACCGAGGTGGGAATCCCTGGCATGTCTGCTGAGGTCCATGCGAAAACATCTTTGTTGGTTCGGAGAAAAGCTATTAGCTTTGCTCTTTCCTCCAGGCTTAACTGAGTTCCTATCTGTGTTTTTCTGTTCGGATCTTTTTCATCAATACGTACCTCCTCTACATCTTCACCCAGAGCAGCTCAGGTTTCATCATTAGGTCGGTTATCGAGGATTTCAACCCCCATCACCTGCCATTTGTCATGGATTTTCTGTGGAGGATTCTCTGTTGATTGATCTGTGTTTTTCTATGGCTTTATGACCGAAGTGAGATAGTAATGTCTGGCCACTTCCTGGTTACCTCTGAGTGTTGCAATTCCCATGGGGGTTGGAAATTTCATGCAGAGATGAGATTGAGAGACCATAGCTCGGATCTCTGTTAATGTGGGCCGGCCAATGACAACGTTGAAAGAGGAAGGCATCTTGACCACCAGAAACCGAACTAAAGGAGTCACATAGGTTCAGCCACTTCCAAATGCAACATTCATGGTTAGAACCCCTTTGACTGGAACTGGTTGGTTGTTGAAGCCATATATGAGACCATCGTAACATTGTAGCAGAGCTGGGTCGAGCCCTAGACTCTCAAAACTATGGTAGTATATGATGTCAGGTGCACTGCCAGTGTCAACAAGTACACGTTGGACTTAACAGTTGTTAATCATTACTGAGGTGACCAAGGGGTCATTGTGAAGTATTACCACTCCTTCAAAATCAGCGAGTGTAAAAGTGATTGGTTGATTTTTCTAGTCAGCATCATCAAGTTTCCTTTTCTGAGCTCGATTCTGGTGCTTTACCTCTATAACATATATCTTTCTCTGTTTGGAGCTCAACCCTTCGACTTCCAACCCTCCAACTTCCAATCCTCCTGTAATCATGTGTATAATTTTGGCTGATGGTGGAAGTGGAGGTGGGGCTTGTTGATGTCCCACTCCTTGCCTGTTTGGTGGATTACGGATTCCTTGAGGCTGTGGTCCCTATTCTCTGACAAATCTTGGCTGTTCAGCTCTCTGGATGTACTCATTCAACATTCCTTTCTAAGCTAGACTTTCCAGTTCGAACCTCAGACTGTTGCATTGTTTTGTTGTATAACCATGATCTTGATGAAAATCACAATATCTAATATGATCTCGGCTAGCAGCAGTAGTTCTCATTGGGCCCGACGCCTTAAGTCCATCTTATTCTTAATCTGCATGAAAATCTGTGACCTCGGCAAATTAAAAGGGGTCCAAGTAACTTGAGGTTTACCTACAGATTGTTGTGGAGGTGCTGAGTTCAGCCTTCCGAATCTTGGTGTGGAGGTCGACATCGGACCTCGGTTCTGTGCTATCCTCATCCGTTTCCTACTCTGATTCTCATCTCTCCAGTCTGGGTTTTGGTTCTTAGAAGGAGTTGGCTTCTACGACAAGGCATATTCCTCAGCAATTATGAATTTCAGGGATCTATCATTCACCTCGTTAAAGGTTGTGGCAGGATGCTTGATCAAACTATCTCTGAATCTCTCATGGTTAAGACTTGAAATCACAGCTGCAATTCCCACAGCTTGGTCGAAGGAGCTAACTTCCAGCACTGCATCATTGAATTTGCTCATGTAATTCTTCAAAGATTCTCCATACCTTTGTTTAACTCGCATCAGCTCAGAAGTAGTTTTCCTGATCAACCTTCTACTGGAAAACTTTGTGGCAAAAGCAGACGTCATTTCTGTATAAGAGCTGATTGACCTCGGAGGTAGGCTGTAATACCAGGTTCAAGCATTACCTCGAAGAGTAGAGGGAAAGATTTTGCACATCAACGCGTCAAAGGCGTTCTGAGCCTACATACAAGAGTAGAAAGCATGTAAGTGATCATCGGGATCCTTTGTCCCATCATAAGTCTCAAGCTGAGGTATTTTAAAGCCAACAGGATAGGGTTCCAATGTGATGTTGGTGTTCAGAGGATGGGGTATATGGTCAGCAGTATGGTGTGGAGGTGGGGCACCTCGCTGTTCAGCTACCAATTTTTCTAAGCTGTCCAGACGTCGAGTGACATCATCAGGGAGGGGTTGTTGAGCTGGTGTTATGTGAGACTAACCCTGAGATTCACTAAAAGCAGGAGCATGCTGAACTGGTTGAGGGTCTTACTGTGGAGCTAAGGGTTGTGGAGCGGGGTTGTGGAGCAGGGTTGAGTAAATTGATGAGGGGATCACCAGGGTTGTTCCGAGCTAAGAGCTGAGCCAATACTAACTGAAAAACACCAAACTGTTGTTGCATGGCAGCAAGCTGAGTTGTAACTACGTCTTGGTTGGCGGTGGAAGCTGAGTTGTGAGGTTGGTTTTCATCTCCTCCTTCTGCATGATCAACAGGAGGAAACATATTTGGAATCAGAGGTGGAAGCTGAGGTGGGAGGTTGTTAGGAAGTTGACCTTGTCCAAAAGGCTGAGATGGATTTCCAGCTTGGACTGATTGAGTGTTAACCATTATGAGAGAGCAACAAGAGAGCTTTCAGTTCGGATTCCCACAAACGGCGCCAAATGTAATTGCACCAAACTAGAAGTCCTTCTTCAGTCCGCGTCTGCACTTCGGATTGACCTGCAAAGCCCCGAGGTGAAACTCGGGGTAGACACTCCGATGCTTAAGTTAGCAATAATCGGTGCTACCTTTAGACTGAGGATAAAAGGAGCTTAAGGTTGGTTTCAATTATCTTTTTGACATGGCCCCTGGTGGGTATTTATAGGCTTCAGTGAGGAACCCACATGGCATGCCAAACAAGATAATCAGAGTCTGATGTGTCTCTCCAAACGATTATTTCAGGACGGGAAAATTGAGAGATATTCAGATGTGAGAATGTCCATCATAACTGCTGTGCAGCTTGTCATAAGGAATCAAGTGCGGGCATGCTTATTGTCACTGTCATGCAGCTATTTATGCAGAAAGTGTTGGATTTATCCTTCACTTCGATTATAAAGGAATTACTGCCGTACGTCAGAGGTTGGGCACGTCGGACCTATCCTTACAAATACTTTGATGAAAATTAATCTCTTGATCAATTAAATTTAAATATTTAAAAGTTGATATGGAAAACTTGACGAATAACCAATTCAAATAAATTTCTAATTGAAAAAGCACAATACGATGGAAAAACAAATGTTCATAAATGGTCTCCTCCATTAATAGACAAGGTT